CTGAGTCTTCATCTTGAGATCATTTCCTGTCATCTGTCCAATCCATTAAACACATACATAGCAGAACTGTGGCAGACACTGGGAACAAGGCAGGAAGTACCATCCTTAATATCCATGAAAATTGGTGCATTAGAAAAGTGATGGTGATTGAACTGTGGAAGCTGTGCCCAGTTCTCTCCCATAGATCACGTCCCAGAGAGATGAGGTGACTCCACCCAGACTCCTTAGTTCCCTGGGGGAGAGCCTGTTGGAGGCTCAGGTGTGAGAAGAGTAAAATCAGGTTCCTGCAAGTCCCAGGACACAGAGGAGTCTCTGCTACAGTCTGTGTTTCCCAACCTGTTAGACTGGTTTCTCCAGAGTGGTTCACACACTGAAGCCAAGCGATCATGGAAGGATGGGGTATTTTGTGTATCTTCTCCTAAGATAAAGTTCTGTGCATGCAGGAATCAACTTTAACCATTCCTCCTGAACACCTGAGCAGGAATATAGCTATTCACACACCTCCTCCCAACACCTGGACACACATCACACAAACACAAATACAAACTCACACATGCATGTGTAAGGATGCCCACATGTATGTACACAAGGCACATATGTGAATACATTACATAATACTGTTCTCTTGTGCTTTCTCTTGCTGTGGTAAAGACTGTGACCAAAAGCAACTTGTGAAGGAAAAGATTTATTTCAGCTTATAATTTCTAGTCCAAGGCAGTACTCAAGGCAGGAGCTGAAGCAGAAACCGTGCTTGACAGCTGCTTACTGGCTTGCTCAGCTTGTATTCTGATACCTCCCAGGACCACCTGCCTAGAGGTGGCATTGCCCTCAGTGTTCTGGAACCTCTGACATCAGTCATTAATCAAGAAAAGCCCCCCCCCCCCACAGATTTGCCTGCAGGGCAATCCAGTGAAGGCATTTTCTCAACTCAGTTCCACTTCCCAGAAAATTCTAGCTAGTATCAAGTTGACAACAAAACAAAACAAACCCCCAAAGGAAAACTAACCAGGATGCTTAACTATACATATGTACATACAGATGCAGATGCTGACAGAAATGAACACATGGGCATACTGGCAATCAGTGCACATATACATATGTGCATCTATACACAGGAGCAAATGCCTGTACAATTACATGCACACACAGTCTTTGCACAGGATTGTTTCATAGCTATTTACTTTCCCTCCCTGCCCTCAGGGCCTGGCCCAGCAGTTCTGGGGAGGTTTAGATCTCTCCTCTGCCACCTGCAGAGGTCTTCAGACAGCCTTAATGAAGGCTCTACTACTTATCCAGGGTCATAATCATTCTCACTTGGGAGGGTCTATATGTTCTTGAGGATATAAGGTGATGGGACAAGAGAGAGGACACACCCTGGGCCAGAGTCCACCTCCAGTACCCAGCCCAGGTGCTCAAGCCTGCTTGCACACCTGCTCCAGTCTTTTCCTCTGCTAACCACAGCCTTTCCCCTTCCTCACTCAGCTCCAGATGTTCCTTATCAGTGAATCTCACTTGCTCAGTTTCAGTTCTCTCCCCCTTAACACATGCCCTGTGTCGCTCATGAGGACCAGCCACCTGCGTCCCTCACCAGCTCCAGGGTCAGCCACCATACCTGGAATAAATATGGTGCTATCTTCTCTTCTCTTGATGGTCTGCCTACGTTTTCTTCTCACATGTCCCCCAGCTGTGCGACAAGAAGCAAGCCCTGGAGCCTTCAGCTACTCATGAATGATTTCCATTGTTTCTATTACACAGGACCCTCATGTGAGGTGCAGGTGTCTTAGCTACAGGCAGTCATGAAACCATGGCCCTTTTAGTCTCCACTGCTCCTTCCTACAAAAGTCCTACCACAGAGCCAGGTTAGCATATTCAACCAGCTATTGAAGAATGACCTTGATTGAAGTGGGGTTGGGCAGCAAATGACACACTGTCCCCTTTCTCAATCTCTAGTTTGACTCTATGAGGTTCTTGTGACATGACTGTCACTGATGACTTCCACCCTTGGAAGTTAAGCCATATAGTTGACAGCTCATATATGAAGGCAGGAGACTTGGTGGGAAGGGGTAAAGAAACCATTTCAACATGGCAGAGCATCGCCTATGAGAGGAAGCAGAGCCCACTTGACAGAAGGATGAGGAAATCTTTCTCATGACTCCTGAGGAGTCATAGGTCTTTCCTTCTAAAGATAAATTTCTTCATCTGAAATATGGATATGGGCATCACATAGTGGTTGCCTTTTCTGTGCTATGGTATCACTCAACTAGGGGTTGTTTTTTATTATTGTTGTTGTTTTTGTTGTACTGGGGATGAGAGTCAGGGCCTTATGCACACTAGCTTTATCATCATCTCTATCTACCACTGAACTTTATCCTCAGCCTAGCTAGATTCCATCCTTCCTCCTACCCCAGCCACTTCTTTCTGTGTATGTTGCTTGTGTGTGTGCATGCGTGTAGGGTAGTATTCATGTGAAGTCCGGGGGTTGTGCCAAGTGTCTTCCTATCTCTCTTTATTGTTCTATTGCTTCCTCTATTGTCTTATTGTTCAAGGCAGGGTCTCCTGATGAACCTGGTGCTCATGGATACGAGCTGTTTGGCAAGCTCTATGATCCTCTTATCTCTTCCACTCCAGTGGTGGGACTATAAACACGTACCTGGCTTTTACAAGGGTCCTGTGCTTCCATGGCAAGAACTTTGATGATGGAGCCTCCTTCCCAGCTTCATAGATTCCTTTTAAATAAAGTTTCATTTTACATGAAATCCATTGGTTATCGAGGTGGTAGTGGTTCACACCATTAATCTCAGCACTCGGGAATCAGAGGCAGGCAGATTTCTGAGTTTGAGGCCAGCTTGCCTGGTCTACAAAGGAAGTACCAGGACAGCCAGGGCTACATAGAGAAAGCGTGTCTTGAAAAACAAAAACAAACAAATAAACAAACTCGAAAGTAAACAAAGAAATGGCATTGGTTGATGTTCAAAATATGCTACCATTCAGAGACATGGCCTTTTGATTTATCTACAACCTCAAAGTAGATGTAATTTGTGATTTTTTTTGCTGTTCAAACAAGAAAGGTATGCTAAAAGGTATGAAACAGAGTGAGCTCTCCTTTCACATAGAAATGTTTGAGGCCTCCACCAAAGGTAAAACAGCTTTTCCTTGAATGTGAGGTTGTCATAGAGTAGAAACATCTTCTGTTGGTCTGAACTTTTGACTCTGGTTTTAATTAATCTCCTTAGATACAGTAGATGCATCATCTTTGCTTATAGATGAAAACATTGGGCCATAGTTGGCCAGATCAGCAATGAATCCAGAACCAGAACAAAAAATCTCCTAACACTGAATGAAAAGTATTACTTAACCAAAGGGATATAATAACACAATGATTATTAAGTGTTTTAATCACAGGCTCTACTAAGAAGATGAGAAGAAAAGGGCATTTCAAATATAGATGGATATCTTTAAATATTTAAAAAAAATAAACAAAGGAGCTAGATTGAAGCTTGTTATTAAAGCTCCACCTTTCCTGTGCCTCTCACCCAGCAGGATGCTTCCTTACTCTGCTGTCCAGGTTGGAATGGCATTCTCCACCCAGAACTGGTTGCCACTTCATTGAGAAATTGGTTGCTTAATATTTATTGAGGCTGCTGTATTTTTCCAGCACAAAGATGAGATAGCAATCCTACTTCAAGAGGTTTTTGGGAAATAAATTATTTAACTGGAGTCTTTCTCTCCCATCCCCCATCTCCATCTCAGGCTCCCTGGACATAGATTGGGAGTCTGGGTGGAGTGCCAGAGGGTCTGGGTGTTTGCATGGCTTCACTTCAGAGAAGAAGAGAGAAAGAGAATTCTCTGTCCCTTTATCTGGTTGAACCAGAGAAGACAGAATTTGTTAAGTTTCTCAGGAAGAGAATGAGTAGGTTTGTTCCTATGGTTCAGGCAATGGTGGAAGAGAGGATTAGAACCTTTAGAGATCAAAAGTGGCTCCCTCGAAATTCATCTTGGGTACTCCATGGCAAATGTCTACCCACCATTGAAAAATCTTAGGAACTACCTCATAGTGTTGAGGTCTTGGTCTAAATCCTACTGTTCTAGGTTGTGCAGAGATGGGTTTCCTTCCAGAAGGCAGACCACACACATAGAAAATCCCCAGGGGGTTGAGTTCCTATCACAGCTTTCCTGTCCTTGGCTGGACTTTACTAGCCACATGTAGCCTTCCAGTGCCCAAGCGGCACTCAGGCAAGACTCTCTAATCTCAGTTGTCTCCCACCCTGTGCATGGAATGGACTCATCTCCAACAGAAGCAGTCTGGAAAGCCCTGGTCTTGGCTGAGGAATTGTAGGACTCACTATGGGGGGTGGGGGTGGGGGTGGGGAAATGCCTTTCCTCTCACCTCTAAAATCACACTTCACATTGATTTTTATAAATGGCGCCCCTGCAGCAGAAAGCAGCCCAGATCCTTCCTTTCTGGATGCTAAAGACAAACAGTCCTGAACTGTAAGTGGAATGAAAGCCATGGCTAAATCCAGGAAGCCTTGGTGCTTCTACCTCCCCGTTTCCATCCACCTCACCCTTAGGACAAGCTTGAGAGAAATCCTAATCTGAATCCCCCTAAGAACTGCTCAGCCCCCCAAGGCAGCTTCTTCAACACCTGTGCCTCTCTCCAGTGAGTCTCTGTGAAGTTGGGGAAGCACTCTTTAAACCACCAACTTGGTCAAAGCATCTATGAAAATCAGTCACATGGGAAGTATGTCCTAGGCAGATGTCCATGCAGTGGGGTGGTCTGCCATCGGGTCAGAAGAGGCTGGTCTCTGTCCCATTGCCCCTGTGTCACTTCCCATCAATTTACCTATGGGTCTTTCCATCCATCCCCAATTACTTCATTCCTTGTCTGCAGCTGATCTGTCCCTCCCTGGGAGGAGCATCTTGCCTGAGGGCAGGTAGAGGGTGGGGAGCCTCCTCCCTTTGCTCCAATTGCAGAAAAGGAGGTGATTCCCATGCCAAGGCAAGGCTACCTATAGCTCAGCCCTCCAACAGACAAGGCTTCAGATCCCAGCAGTGGCCCTGAACGCTGGACCACAAACCCCAGGAGCAGCAGACTGACATCTGATCGACAGCAAGCTCAGAAGCTCTGTGAGGTACAGAGAGACCACAGCCATGTCCCACGGGTTCACTAAGGAGCAGGTGGATGAGTTCCATGCAGCTTTTGATAGGTTTGACAAGAACAAGGACGGCCACATCAGTGTCGAGGAACTGGGTGATGTGATGAAGCAGCTGGGCAAGAACCTCTCAGAGGAAGAGCTGAAGGCACTCATCTCCAGAGTGGACACAGACAGCGATGGCACCATCAGCTTTGACGAATTCTTGGCGGCAATGGCCAAGTATAAGAGAGGAAGCACTGAGCAGGAGATGCGGGCTGTGTTTAGCGTCTTTGACCAGGACGGTGATGGGCAAATCACTGTGGATGAGCTCAAGAAGGCCATGTCTCAGCTGGGAGAGACGATTTCACAGGAGGAGCTGGATGCCATGATCCGTGAGGCTGATGTGAACCAGGATGGGAAGGTGAACTATGAGGAGTTTGCGCGCATCCTCAATGAGAAGTGAGACTGCCGGGGTGCAAGCCCCACCCGATCTCTATCTGCCTGACTCAGGCCCAACAGGCACTGTGCCTTCTTTTAGGGCTTCTCTTCTGTGTTGGTGTATGGGAAACTACGGCATGAGGGAGGAAGACGTCATTGGTCCTGGATGCTGTGCCATCCGAGGCTGCTCACTTGTCCTCTCTCTGTCCGCTGAGACTCTGGGCAAAGGATGTTCTCCTTGGGCTGGTCCCTCCTCTTCCTCCTGCTGTGGACTGGGTGCTTCCTACCTCTCAGGGCTCTAATAATGGTTTAAATAAAAGGAATGCAAATTCTGTGTGCTTGGTGTTTGATTAAAATGGGAATTCCTAAGGGCTTCCAAAAACACATTCTTTGGAGTGGCAATCCCCCTCATAGAACTGCTGGGAGAATTGATCTGAAAGGCGCTTCAGTGTACCTCTTGCCTTCCCTAGTTTCCAAGGAGGAGGAATGGTAAGTAGTGGCATGGGGGTTGGGGGTGGGGTGGCAGCAGATGTAGGAAGAAGATGTTTTGAGTTTTAAGGTCTGCCTGAGCTGCTGGGTACCAGTTCCTGGCCTGGGATGGGAAGAACCAACCAAGGAAAGACACTCCCCTTCTCACACAGCCTGTTGTGCATTAACCTTGAGTAAAAAGGCTGTGAGAACTGTCTTTATATTTGTGCCTCTATGCATGTATATGTCTGTCTGAATAAGCCTGTCTGTGCATATTGTGTATGTCTGTGTCTATATTACCTGTGTATGTCCACATGGATTTATACGTGTAGGCCTTGATGTGTACATATAAGTGTATATGTAGATGCATGCATGTGTCCCTGTGTGTATCTGTATATATGCATGTGATTTTGTATGTGCATGTATTCTGTATCTGAAATACATTATCCTATAGATATTTTTAAAATATGGGGCCTTAGTAATGCGTTCCATTTTAAAAACCTCAGTCATGTAGCTGGATGAGAAGTGATCAGGGCACTATATGATGGACAAAGTATGGGAAATGGTACTGGAATGGGAGGTGATGGCAGTTACATGCTGAAGGCAGAAATAGCAAGGAGGGGTTTCCAAAGCTGGTTGTAGGACACTCAAGTTTCCACAGGATAGAACTCTACTGGCCCAGACTGTGTCTCCCTCTTGGCCTTGCTAGTGAGGTTCTGATGTTCCTTTCCAGGGTTCAGGATTGAGGGATTAATCCCAGATAAGTGATGGAGGAGAAAGACTGAGGGCTGCAAAGGCTCTCCCATCCACATCGAAGACAAATGAGGTCACTGTGTGAGCTTGGGTGGGGATATGGCTGCCTAGTTTTGAACACTACACTAAGAGTCTTGCTTGTTGTTTAATAAGCTGGGCTCCTGCTTCCTACTCAATGAAAGGGGACTTCCTTCCTTCCTCTCTCCCTCCCTCCCTCCCTCCTTTGTCTAGTAAAATTTAAGCTCAAATCATCTTTGATATTGCTCTTATCTAGTCACAGCTGGGCCAAGTCAGTGGCTCTTACCCAGGGTGGGGAGAGAGACAGTGCCCTCTTCTCTGAAAAGCTATTGTAAAATCCTTTAGCCCAGCCAGTCCACCCCCACACCCTGACATGCCTGTGGTGGGTTTGTGTCTGTGAAGAGTATGCACCTGTGGGGGTGAGTGACCCAGCCTGTCTTTCTTGTCCCTACTTGAACACAGAGCTCAGTAGAGTGAGGAACCCATCATGGTCACTAAGGGAAGTCTGCCTCATCTGTGAGATAATGTATATGTCTTCCCAGTGGTCTTACTCTGAGGTTACTCCAGTTCCTTTGGTTCTTAACACTTCGCTGCCTTGCCCCTGACCACTCTGTCCTCAGGTATCTGGCCCTTTGGATACCTTCTAGCCTGCTGGGGAGGCCTGGCTGGCAGCAGAGGGAAAGGCCTGGGGCTGGAGTACAGTGGTGCCCTGTGGGTGGGGAGGTCCTGAAGCAGTCAACAGGCTCCCACAAGGGAAGCAGCATAGGCAGAAGGGCAGGCAGAAGCTCTGGGGGAAGGATGAGGAGATGAGGCGGGGAGATGGGGCAGAGACAGTCACAGGCTGAATATGGATTACTGCATCAAGATAAAAATAAATAGAAATAGACAAAACAGGCTGCAGATGCACTTGTCAGGAAAGTCCATTTATGTAGTATGTAGGAAACACTGGTTTTGAGTCTTAGCGTTGATCAGGAGGCTGATGCAGGAGGATTAGAAACTCACCCCTGGATCAGAGTGAGCAGGAGAGGAGGAGGAAGCTTGGGCTACAGGAGACTCTGTTTGAAAATAAACAAAACAAAAGAAGCTAGAGAAAGGCTTTTCACTCAGAACTTGGAGAATCTGCTGCCCCTGTGTTTATAGTGAGGAATGTGTTTTCTGTGCGGAAGCTATCATGATAGTAGAGGGCCATTTGAGGTTTGCATCCGTGTTTCTCTTGTCTCCAAATCTATTTCGAATGGTACTGATCCATGAAATCTAACCATGTGATAATAACTGCTTGAATCTAAGGAGAAAAAGCAAGTCAATTTTCTAAGAATAAAAGTTCTCCCTTATCTCTCAAGTGTGAATATTTTTTTGCCTAGTGGGAACAATAAACATGAAATTCAGTTGTTCCTTCTAGTGGGAGGGAGTTGCCTTCAGAAGGAGTGAGGGGAACCTCAAAGTTCTCTTTAATGTTTTTTGTGTTTTATTTTTTTCCTGGTCTGGGTGTAGGCTATGCGGATATCAACTATTTTATTCTCTATACTGTAGTCAATTTTAGACTAAATATGATACCTGTACATTATAGAAGGTTAGAAATTACAGAGGGGCACTACACCATCCCTAAACCAGCCTAAACCATCCCTAGAGAGATTTTTCTTTTTTTCCTAACTATCCAAGTTCTCCCTAATCTTCACAGTGGGAAAGCTAAGCTAATTCTCCAACTCTGTTGGATAACTGGGGATAAAAGAGCTTGGATTTAACCAACTATGCATCTAATCTTTGCAAATTTTATCATTGAAGAGCTGAAGATCCAAAATCAAGACATTTTCTCCAGTACCCTACCAGCAACAGGGGATGTGTTTCCCAGATTAAATCTAAGTTTTCTTTCCAATAGTGACCCAAGGTTCAAATATTTTAACATGAAAACACATTAGAACTGAGATTCTTGAGTCTTGTGAGGGAAAGTCTTTGTCCCAGAGCCTATCCTATGCTGCACAACCTACCACATACCATTTATGCAATGCTGGGAGTCAAACCCCGAGGCCTATGCACACTGGCCAAACACTCTACCAACTGAGCTATGTCCTCAGCTTTTCTATCATGTAATCTGTGTTATGTAGGAGAAAACCTTTCTCTTCTCTTCTTCAACAACTGGCATTTGCAAATTAAGTTGACAGAAAACAGATAACTGGAAGGGAAATTTACTTTTCATCTATACAAAAGAGTCACACAAAAAAGTGAAAACCCAAAGAGATGGTTAGGCATTGGAGCTCATAGCCATCTTCACAGAGGGCTGTATTTTGAGGAAAATGATAAGGCAAAGGAAACCGAGTATGGACTCCTGGGGAGAGTGGGAAGTGTGTATATGGGAGAGTCAGTTAAGGTATGTTATGTCATTCCAAGCTCATCTTAGGCAGTCAGACCATGGAGCTGGGTTAGCCTGGGCCTTCAGATGAGCAATGGTGAGTGTTCCCTCACAAGCCTGGAGTGACACACAAGTGATCTCTCACCATCTCTGCCTTGTAATAAGTAGGTGCTAAGTACTAGCAGTGTTTATGAAAAGCTCCTCAATTGCAACATTAACCGTAAGTATGAAGGGGTTAGGCAGTGTTTGACCATAACAAAAGACCTGTGACAATCAGTTTAATGGAGACAATCGAATTAAAAGAGGAACGGTTTGTTTTGGTTTATAGTTTCAGAGTTTTCAGTTCATGCTTTCTGGGCCACATCTCTGTGGGCCTGGAGTTGCACATCATAGCAACTTACCTTACTACATACAGCCTGGGAGCAAATAGTGAACTAGAGGAAGAGGGAAAGGTTCACATATCTCCTCCAGGGGCCCATTCCCAATGATTTAACTTCCTTCCATTACGCTCCACCTTTTAAAGAGGCAACTAATTTCAGGTAGTGTCTTTAGTGCATGGATGTTAGGGGAGGGCATTTAAGTTGTAAACATTAAGAGTGGTAGTGGGTGTGCATAAAACCAGTTATTTCTCTGCCCCTATCAGAACATGGAATCTCGTCTCTTCTCCTCTCCTCCCCTTCCCTCTCCTCTCCTCCCCTCCATTCCCTTCCATTCCCCTCCGCTCTCCTCTCTTGTCCCCTCCCTCCATTTTTTTTGAGACAGGGTTTTGTTGTGTAGCACAGGCTGTCCTGGAATTTGCTCTGTAGATCAGGCTGGCCTCAGATTCACAGAGCTTCTCCTGCCTCTGCCTCTTGAGTCCTGGGATTAAAAGCATACACCATCACTACCCAATTCACATGGGTCATTTCTTAGGACTTAATTTGAATTCTCAGAGCCCCAGTTTCCTCCAGCCTACTACTTGCTTGGTACTAGAGAGGCCCAGTGGCCATGACAGGGGTGTGACCTTGCAGATGGAGCAGTGAAGGGGTAGAGTATAAATTCTGTTGTTGACACTGGTAATCCCAGCACTCAGAAGGTAAGGGTAGGACAATCAGAAGTTTGAGGTAATCCTCAGCTCCACAGTAATTTTAAAGCCATAAAAATAAAATCCTGAGCTGGGCAGTGGTGAACATGTCTTTGACCCCACCACTTGGGGAGCAGAAGCAGGTGAATCTAGGAGTTTGAGGCCGGCCTGATCCACAGAGGGAGTTCCAGGACAGCCAGGGCTACACAGAAAAGTCCTGTCTCAGAAGGAAAAAAAATCCTGTCTCAAAAACATAAGATACAAAGGAATGACAAATTCATCTTAGAGGAGTAATTTTGACAGTGTTTGTGAATTTCTTTGGAGTTTTGTTTATCCAGTTCAGATTTTGGGGTTGAATTTAGTAAATTATTTTAACTGTGGTCAACTCATGTAACCATTGTAGCATGATTGGGATTAATGTTCTCTGGGTTTTTATTTGCTCTTGTACATTGGATCTATGATTTGTGGAAAGGAGAGCTGC